AATCCCTCTAAGCTGACTGTGATTTCAGTTTTGTTTTGATTAATCATGCAGCCTTACAATATAATGCAATTTATTTCCCCATGATATAAGATGGTCATCATAGAGGAAAAGAAATCAAAGTCCTGGCTGACAGATCCAGAACTCTCTCAAAACTGTGAGGACTATGTAAGGTTTCTGTGGTATAATGTGTGAACATGTCATTCACTTTGACGTACACTTGGATGTCTAGCATGATCCTCTTGTCTTCTTCAACATGGATCCCCCAGATGCAGTCCTGACCCTTATCATAGGCCTCAGGCCAGTTTGGAGACAACACCACCCCAGCTGAATCTGTGATCTCTCCACTGCAAACCGCTGCAATGCAACCAAAGAGAGAGAGAGAAAAAAAGAGGTAAGAAAGAAATGCAAACAAGCACAAATGTATCCAAAATGTTTTTTTTTCTTTTAAAAAAGACCTTTATGAACAAAATATGAACAAAAGTCTTCACAAAATACAATAAAAATAAATAAATGAATATATAACTGAATAAACAAAAATAAATAAATAAATGAATAAACAAATAAAATGTATGTTATCAGTGTTACTTTAGTTATTAAACAGTATGTAATTTTATTAAATTTTTTAATTTCATTATATTTTTATTGTAAGTTTCAGTGATTATTTTTATGCCTTTGTCTTTTTTTATAAATTTTTTGTATTTTATATTTCTAATTAGATATTTATTTTTATTTCAGATTTAGGATTTTTAATACTTCAACCTAATTTTTTTACTCAGTTGTGAAGGCAGCAATTCTATTTTTCAGCTTTATATCAAAACAAAACAAAACAAAACAAAACAAAACAAAACAAAACAAAACAAAACAAAACAAAACAAAACAAAACAAAACAAAACAAAACAAAACAAAACAAAACAAAACAAAACAAAACAAAACAAAACAAAACAAAACAAAACAAAACAAAACAAAACAAAACAAAACAAAACAAAACAAAACAAAACAAAACAAAACAAAACAAAACAAAACAAAACAAAACAAAACAA